TCGGGCTGCCCTTCCCGGTGCTTCGGTGTGTCCTGTTCGTGTCCCAGAGGGCTGTGCATTTTGTGCTGTGCATCTGCTAAGTGGCAGATCACTTGGGGCTTAGACGCGGGGATGGGAAGGTGGGCTATAGCGTTGATCTTTCTGTGTAGTGACCGTGGTGCCGGGTGGGTTACTGAAGCCGGGAGCTGTGTGTGGCCCAGAGGGTCGCGAGTCGAGCCAGGGAGCTTTGGGGGATGGCGTATGGTGGGGTGGCCTTTGTGCCATCCATTATCGTGCATTCTGGGGTCTGGAGGGAATTGTGGATTGGTGGGCAGACTCGCTACTAGATCCTCCAAGGAGTGATGAGGATACCAAAGAAAGGGGCTTATGTTTTGGGGGCGGGGCGGGAGGGCAAGCCCAAATGTGTCATACAAGTGCTGTTCTCTAGCCACTAGACCACTGAAAGGAGAGACCCCAGAAGAGTTTCTTGGCTGGTGGATGGTGACAGGCGTGTTTCTCGTTTGCACCATTTCTTTCGGATAAAGATGAGGGAAAGGGAAGCGTTGTGTTGTGTGGTTGTTGACAGCAAAGGGTCTCTTTTGTTTGATGAGGCGACCCAGATGTAGGCCTGAATTCACAATAGTTACTACTGAAAACCAGTGCAGCCGCTCAGTTACTCTCCTGGAAACAAATAGAAACCTTTTGTTTAAAACGGACAGAATTTTAATATCTTTGGAATCTGGGCTAGAAGGAAAACGGAAGCATACAGCAAAAATTTCCTCTAATCTCTAAAAAGAAAGAAAGAAAAACCCACCCAACATTCTGCTTTAACACTAAGTTAGCAAGAAAATGCCATTTCTCAAATAGGAATTCTATTGATTATTATCTCTGAGAGAATGTTCAGAATCAAGCCATCACGGTTCACACACAAGCCAGCTTGACATAACTCTGAGCTATTGTGGTAGAAAAAGCAAACAGCTTTGCAGTAACAGGCCTGAAAAATGCCTGCACTTGTGTTCTAGATATTTGCTTGTATAATAAATACATTTCTCAAACATTTCTGTAAAAAAAGAATATTGTTAAGATTTGAGAAGCATGCCTTTTCTTTCTTATCTGGAGCATTCCATCTGCTAGCTCAAGGAATCAATTGCCTTTGGGACTGAACTACTTATGTACTGGATTATTTACAAGCAGGAACAAAATATAATGATCACAAATAGTTACCAATGGTTAATTCATATGTCATGATTTATGTCTTCATTTTAAAACATGATTAGATAGGTGTGTATTTATTTACAAAGAATAGAGGCAAAGAGTTGAATGAAAGGTGTGAGCTTCAGGGAATGAAAGAAGCCAGGGGAGGGGAAAACTGGAATTGAAAAGTGAAGGTCCTTTTTTAATTCTCCTTCCTTTTCTCATTTGACCCTACTTCAAATGGCTGAAAACATGAAATTGAAGGTGTTTTTTTGAATTCTCAAGATTGAAAAGAAAATAGTGAGGGCAAGAGAAACATATAGTGTTCAACTACACGATGTAAGAGAAAAGAATGTGTTTGGAGGGACTTGCCTTATGACCTGGGTTTTATTTTTCTTTTTCCTTGTTGACAATCTATAGGTTTTTGCAAAGCTCTGAACAGGGCCTTTGAGGTTCCTTTAACCAACCCTAACTGCCAGAAATGTGACAGTTCTGGGCCCAGCAGCTCTTGAGTTAAAGCCTAGGGGTTTGTTAAAGACCTTGGGGTTTAAATGTCTAAGAGGGAAATCCACTAATTAGCTGCTTAATTACATATTGTATATTTGGGTAATACTGTGCTTTTAAAAATGAACTTGCGAGATGATTTTCTGAGGAAAAAAAATGTAAACTAAACCAGTTTTACTACTAAAGTGGAGGTAGTATGGATAACTTTTCTTTATTTTATTAGATATTTGA